TATATACATATAATTCATATACATATATATACATATACAATAATATACATATACATATATATACATATACATATATATACATATACAAAATAAATAACAATATATATATATATATATATATATATAATATATATATTAATATATATATATATATATATATATATACACACGTCCCCAGTAAAGTTCTAGAGGTGGTACCTCCCTATATTTCTTAAAAAAAAATACAGATACATATATAAAAACTGCAATGATAACAGTTAGCCAGACCTCGATTTTGGAGGTGTAAAGTTTGGGACCTGCAATCTAAAAGTCGAGAGATGGTATATGAGTTTTTTTTTTCTTCTTTAACGCCATCTCTAAAGAATAATGTGAAGGAAACCTTGTCGAGTATGAGACTAAACCATCGAAAAAAAAAACCATAACGAAACAATACTCATATTATTTCCAAATTATATTTATTTTCACTGGTTTTATTTTTTAACGATGATCGTCATCTTGAGTGTACGCACTCTTTATCACCAGACATGAAGTTCACTGAAAAAGTTAAACTTACCCTGTAGGGACGTAGGTTGTAGACGAGTGGGAGGAGACAGTCATGATACTACACGTCTCCCTGTACGTCCCTCTACACAACAGCAATTTCCCTACCATCCCCCGCACCCTCTCTCAACACTCCCAAAATACCTTCTTACCCAGACAACCTTCCTTCTCGTCCCCCCCCCCCCACTCACAGGAATATCATAGCTTTCCCTACTCTCATGTATACCCTTCCTTCCCCACACTCGCAGGAATATTCTCCTTTCCCATATTTTCTGGAATATTCTCTCTTCCTCCAAACTACCCTCCCCTTCAATGTATTTCCTTCCTTTCCCTACATTCTGCAGCGCATTGATTTCCAGAGTGATGAGCCATCGCAACAAGAGTATTTTCCAGTGATAGCAACTCCAGCTCTGCTGGAATAAAATCCTTTAAGCTACTAAGCCCATGGTGAAATAATTAACGTTTTCCTCTTCGTTGAGACAGAAGTCTCCCAGCTGAGACTGGCAATTTCATTAATTGATGTACTATAACTACGTTGTGTGAAGTATGACAGAGTAACGAAACTAGCTTTGGTTTTTATTGTGACTGACAAAGTAAGGTAGCAGCACACTGCTGATGTGCTGTCATCTCGCAGCACCAGCTTGCTCGTGCTGTGCGGCCGAATATTCACATACGTATATGCAATGCAGAGTTTCACGGATGAACGAAAGACGGCAGAACACACATCAACCTGAGTATTGTATTACTAGCCAAAAGGTATATAATACCTTCAAGCTGGTGAATAACACGTGCAACACTTGGTTGTCTTCACCCGAGAGAATTAGACGCTCCAACGACTTATAACAACTTAACTGATAACAAAACTGTGGCAGAACAGTATCACTCTTGAGGGTGAGACTCCAGAACCCTGAATGTTTCGACATAAGTACTGCTCTGAGTGGCCAACTTGCCCTTCTGATCCACAAAATAAACATACATGCAGATTTTTAATTCAAATTCTTTATTTCCACACGAGCTCATTAATACTGACCTGGGTTGATTCTTCAAGGTGCGTCTTGAGGCTGGTGAAGGGCTTTTGCCCCAGGGAACTGAAGCTACTCCACCCTTCTCGGATCAAACCTGATTATACCCACCCCCTTCCGCTGTATGACGTTTACGGGTTTAGTGCTTCCACTTGATTAACATTAATGGCTACAACTGAGTCAAGGATAAACACGCTTCCCATAACCTAACATGACCCTCGTGTTAAACTGAAAAAAATATCCTGGAAAATATTTTTGGCGTCACAGTTTTTCAATTAACGTATCTGATGAGAAAAAAATAGATATCGATGCAAATTACGACGAGTAACGTAACAATGAAGTAAGAAAAGAAGGAACGCAGGAAGAGAAAGAGATAAAGCTGGTTAATTACCGGCAGTATATACAGGCGTTAATGCGGAAGACGAACGAATGGCAGAGTTAAGAGACGGTTTATGAAAATTAGCCAATCAGGTATTAAAGGGTAGAGGCGAGGAATGTTATTCATAGCAGTGTGGCAACTCAATACCGCCAGTCTCCTGCAACCATGTACATTCGACTGCAAGATGACAGTCTGCAACATGTCCCAGTCTTTTATTCTAACAGACACTAGCTAGTGCTAGAAGCAACTTACCCATCAAAGAGACACCTTAATGTCGATGAAACTTCTTTGATGCAAAGATTAGGAACTGTTTTCCCGTTCCTTAAACCAGGTCTTACCTCCCATTCCCAGAAAAATGTTATCTCCATCCACGATACTTCGCTAAGGCTTTCAATATAGCCATATATGTATAATTTTGATGTATCAATATGACTTACACAGCACTTTACAATTTGAACAGAGGCCACATTCTATAAAATTCTTTGAGAGTCACACCAGTATTTAATTAACATCCAACCCACGTTGTAGATGCATACTAGTTAAATTTCTGACCAGAGTGATGCCATTACTGATAACGTAAACAGTGAAAAAAAAAACAATAACTACTTGGCAGACATTAACAGCATTGCTGATCAGTTTTTCTCAACTGATCTTTACACCGTCCTAGAGCAGCACTACAGACTATAATAGCCACACTACATAACCCTATCCCTTTTTTGACATATTACAAACAAGGCTGCACATGACAACAAACATTTTCTTAAACAAAATATTAAATTTACAAATCACTCTAGCCACACTGCAATCAAATGCCATCTAGGTCACCACCTTACAACTCTCTCAAGTCATCCGTATTTACAAACGCGTCTAGTTACACAAATAAATTACTGAAGAACCAGTTAGTTTTCACTTCCGTCGAATCACAATACAAACATGGGTGAACCAACCAATCTTTATCCTACTGGTTTTCATACAACCTCGTTCGTAAGTCGAAACATATTATACTCAACCCGTTCGTAAGTCGGACAAACCATGTACTACAAACTACTCTGCACCCTTCACCGGCCGTCCCAGAACAGATTAGCATATGCAAACCCAGACCCGTCATCTTGCAGTCCAGACACGTTACAGGCAAGAGCCACTATGTTGCAGATATGTTGCACACCAGAGCAGTCATGTTGCAGTATGGCCCTCCACGTTAAGAGGTGAGCTCAGAGACTGATCAGAGGAGAATGTTTACCTGGGCGTGCGGGAGGTGCTTGGTGTTGACCCCCATACAGAGAGTGGAACGGAAGGGGGCCCACCACCGGCTCTGGCCGAGACGACGACACGGTAAGGGGTAACAAAGGGGCAAGATAAGGGATAGTAGACGAAGGGATACAGGGTAAAAAAAAAATCATAAGGGGTCCCTAAGGGAAGAAATTTATGATGGGGAAACAGTGATAATAATTAATGTCAAAGAGGAGCATTAAGTGGGGTGAGAAAGATCGTTTAACATAACAAAATGCGAGAAAAGAGAAAGTGGGAGATACGGGGGTAGAATAGAACTGACGGGGTGACAAACTGGCGATACAAATGTCGGTAAGATGGTAATAAAAAAAAAGGTGGCGTGGGAAGGTTAAAATACAAAAAGGAAACAAAATTATAGGCAATAAAAGCGACGAGATAAATAATGAAAATGCAATGAAGTGCAGAATACAAAGGGTGGTCATGAACAAACGAAGAAATGAGCAATATGGGGAAAAAAGGGGGGTGGGATAGGCAATGGTGAAAGAGAACGAAGAGAAGGAAGGGGATACAAACAGCAACAAGATGTAACTGAGGGCATAATGGACAGAAAAACCAACTGAAGAAACTCAATAATGGTTGAAGGAGAAAGATAAGAACCTTCCTCCTTATCCTGTTATCTTTTTCAACACAGGTTTGTTTCCCGACGAACCTGACCTAACATCAACACAGAGTTGGTGAAAGGACAAAGCAGCGTGAAGAACACCTGATATAAATCCAGACAAAAAAGAATAGAAAAGCTGCATAAGGCAAAGACGGGACATAATTCGGAATAAATTAGTTTAAGTCATGGAGGTAAGTGTGTTGATCCGCGGTGAGAAGAGATGAACACAGAAAATACAAAAAAGTGAAGACAAGGAAGACGAAGAAAGAAATGCAGCGAGGGTGTATACGACTGTGACAAGAATATAGTGAAGGTGCGTATATATGACTGACAAGAATATGGTTGAGGTGCGTATATATGACTGACAAGAATATGGAGGAGGTGCATATATGACTGACAAGGATTAGGTATAGAGGCATACATGATTCCTGGGTAAGGTTAAGAGGCATATACAAGTCACAGATATTTAAGAGGGACACATGATTGCGCTCGCTATGACAATACTGCACTATTAAGTTTAAACTTGCACCAGACACAGAATGTAAGGACTATGAAAGTAAAGGTAGAGCAAAAAAAAGTAGAAGTAAAGAGAGGGCTGAGTGGGGGAAGTAAGGAGGGGGCTGAGTGGGGGTGTAAAGAGGGGCCGAGTGGGGGTGTAAAGAGGGGCCGAGTAGGGGAAGAGCAGTTGAAAATATACCACCGACACACATTAAACGCAAAACAATTGTATGAAAATTTTAATTAACAGATTAAAGTTAATATTTTACATAAACAAATTTAATCCACAATAATCTTAACTTAAAGCTTGATGTTAACATGCAATTTTTTATTATACATGAATACTTTCCTTATTCTAGTGTTTCAACAAAAATAAAAAATAGAGATTTAGAGTTCCATATGCAGATGGTGGAGCAATTAAGTATAAGAGGTATTCTTTTACAAGACAAACACAGGGAAAACCCGTACTCTGAGGATAAAAAAAAAAAAGAAGGGAATAAAAGAGTTTTTTAAACACTACATCTGAAGAAAGTACTACAGACCGGTACTTCAATGGCAAAAGGATGAGTCAGTTGTGAAATGGCAATCAACAGGACCCTTCGGTGAAAAAAAAAATCCGTCACCAAGAGGAGGAAAAAAGATTCCAGACATTCCAGACTTAAGCCATGAAATAAATAACTGTAGCACCTTTCCAGGAGACGGCCTTGCTGCTGCTGCAGCTCTGCTCCCGCCCTTGACTGTGGGAGTGATAGTAGGAATGGTGGTGATGAGGGCGTGTGGTGTGGGAGCAAGGTTGAGTGTAGGAATATGGCTGAGAGTATGTGTGATGATCGACTGAAGAGCTTTTGGGAAGCGGTGGTGGTGGTGGTTGCTGGGGGCGGGAATGGTGGTGACGGAGGGTGTAGCAGTGGGCGCCCTGATGGGAGGATGGTGGCGGACTAGTGTGTGACATGGCACGAGTCACACGGTGGGGGCGCTCCAGAGACTGAGTCCACGTAGGGCCGGCTTGTCCGTAAGACTTGGGCATGGATGTTCCGTAGGACTCAGGTGGGATGTAGCGTGACTTGGGACGGTGGGCGTCAGCGTTATAGTGGGTAGAGAGATGTGAAAATGTGTTAGACATCCCAGGAGGTGGGTGGACAGCGATGGGTGGTGGACACACTGGCTCAGGCACTTGCAAAGCTCGTTGCTTGTGTGCGGCGCGGGCATCCCCGGGTGAGGGCGTGGGTGTGGAGGTCAAGAGAGGCTGTGGGTTAGTGCGACCAAGACGTTGAGGCTTCTGAGGACCAAGCAGTGGTGGTGGCGGCCGAGGGGGAACCAGAGGTGCCATTGTTGCTAGCTCATTGACCGAAGGAGCTGAAGTATACATCTGTCCAATGATAGACACTCTTGATCCTGAGTCAAATCGTTTATTTTCTAATCGATCAACTGAGGCCTCGACATTTCCAGTGTACACCCGTCGCAGTACAGCTTTCTCTACTGAGTCCCGTCTAGCTAGCCTTTCAATAGTGTTGGGCTCGCTGAATGCAGGTGACCGAGCAGCTAGCGACTGAAGAGTTGACGTTAACTTTGATTTAGGCAAATATTCATCTCGGGTAGGTTGCCAGTGCTCGGGGCTGCGAGACCGTCTTGGTGCCTCATATTTAGCTCTTATATATTGCACATCTCCTGCCTCCTGGCCTCGAATAACTGTCTTTCCTGTCGGGGTCACGCGCGACAGAGGACCATTCACATCAGGCAGGGACTTGGCGCGCCGCCGGGCATCTTCAGGGCTCTCGTAGCGGCTCCTCAGACGGCTTACGTCTCCAGTCTTAACATGGTAGAGATAGGAACGGGAGCGTGAGGTGGGATCCCCTTCTGTTTTTTCACGAAATGTATCGGCAAGAGGTTGCACTGACGAGCCACTCAGAGGATTAGTCTTGTCATAGATTTGCCATGCCTGAGATGCAACGTCGGCCTTACTAGTTAAATTCACTGACGACACAGATCTTTCCGGCAGATAGTTGGGCGATAACAGTTTACTCTGAGACTGCTGCTTCAGGCGAGATGGTAAAGTAGCATAGTGAGGAACTTCATCGATATTCAGACGACTACCACGTGAAGACTGGCGCTCTGATGACCTCGAATTGCGACGCGCTCGCTTCTCAAAGAATTTCACCTTTCCTGCAACGTCCTTGTGGACGACCGTTCGGACTGATACCTCAGAATCACTAGTCTCAGGGTCACTGACTGGCTCTGGTGGAAGACTTTGGCTCCGACCAGATCGACCAGGCTTTTGTACCACTAGGAGAAACTGGTCACCTGAATTCAAAGAATTTGGCTCAGAAGAGTCAGAAATGTCGAGCGAGTAGCAGGTGCGTGGAGAAGACCTTGACAGACTTTCAGGACTAATGGAGAGTGGAACATCAGGAACTTGCAAGCTGCTCATCGCTCCTGAGGGTGTCTCAAGGCTACGGCCTGACCTCTGCTCCAGCACCTTCTCATGAAGCTCTATGGACAACTGTTTGGATAACTGGCGTCGCTCATCTTCAACTTGGTTGAGACTACTAGCTTTCTTGGTCCTAGGAGGCGATGCAAGCCTTACTGGGTACTTCTGTGATGACTCTGATGGAGGACGAACATGGAGAGTGCGCAGTTTGTCAGCAATGGCACGACCTGTCTCTGCCACATCCACACTGTATTTGGATAACTCTCTATGGCTCCTGTTTTGTGCTCGGTCACTGCTCATTTGTTTCCTTTCTCGCCATGAGCGAATACTCTGCATTGATCCATAGATCTCGGTAAGATGGTCACGAAAGGCGTTTACTTGCTCTAGGCTGAGACTTGTCCACAAGCCACGGGCTCTCATACTGGAATCTTCTCGTGAAAGACTCAGACTAGAGCCACGCCTACTGCTACGATGACGCTCAGAACTCTGGTACATTTGCGAGAGATCACGCACCGAAGATCCTCGCCACAGTCCACGATATGTGTCTTTGTTGTTCTCCAGTTCACGCCGTCGCTTCTGCGTAATTTCTGAGGTATTGTCAGAAGTAGTATCAAATTTCTCGCAGAGCTCCGGAACACTAATGTCGCGTCCTCGTAACCTGCAGTCCCCAGACCATTTCGTGTCTGGTGTCACTTTGTACAAGAACTCGCGTTCTTTTTGTGCAACATTAAGCTCCTTGAGCAAAACACTATATTCAAGGGCCTTTCGCTCTTTCTCCCTCATACCCTTCCATGTTTCAAAGTCTATAATTTCATAAGCACGATTCTGGGCAGCTGAGAGCTCTACACTGCTCACAGATCGCTCAAGGCGATGGACTCTATCAAGAGATGTAAACAGACGCCGAAGTTGAGAGATTCGAGCATTACGGGGTGCAGCATTTCTCAGCTCTAAAATGTACTGACGGTAACGATTAGGATGAGAGTGAGGCGAAGGTGTGAGCACATCAAGACTCTTGCTGCGTCGTGTCCCGGCGGACCAAACCTCCACTGGAATGTCCTTGAAACTGCTACTCACCTGTCGGACCAACTGCAAGGAACGCAGAGGCGAAGTACATCGTGAAGGACTGCGTGACTGGCGGCCACTTACAATCTCTCCTCGGGTCAAAGCCTCCCACTTGCTCCGTTGCTCGTGGAAAGAGGTCGAGATACGGGTACGACGAACCGGGACGGAGTGAGGTCGCTGCTGTGGCTCTGACTTCTTTCTTGTTCGACGCTCACGATCTTCGTGAGCCTTCTTCTCTGGTGTTGGGGAGGTAGAAAGATCAAGCATGCTGGAGTAGCCAGTCTCATTACTCTGCGTTGTATCGAAACTCTCACTCTGTTTCAATTTTTTATCATCGGAAACTTCAATAGAGACATCAGAGTATGGCGATCCCCTATAGCGGCTATCTTTCCGGCCAACGGGCGATTTTCGACTGGATATCTGTGGTTCAGGAGAGATATAGCCACTTCGCATCCTTCTGCAGTTGCTCTCAGCACTACTGCTACGAAGCTCAGGACAAATGTTATCTGTCTGGTTATGATGGAGTGATGGTCGCTTGATTTTGTTCATGCTACTGACTGTGTGGCGCATAACACTGCAGCGACCACTTTCTGTCGAAGTGTTTGACCATTTCCTCGTCGAATCAGCGCTAAGTGACCTGTTGTGGCCTCGAGTTTGAACAGGTGTGTGGTCCTGAACATCATGTTTGCTCGCCCAGCTTTTGTCACCAAGTCTATCTCTTTGGGAGGATCTGTATTGCAATTTCTCACGTATCTCAGACTGTCTAGTGGGGGAAGCAGATTTGGGAGATGATGCAGAGCGTCGAGGGGGAGAGTTCTCTCGGTCCTCAATGGTGAACCGTGACTCTGAAACAGTGCGGCGTCCCTTGAGAAAATTCTCCCTGGCTTCCTGAGTCTGTTTTGCAGCTGAAAGTGAGCGTCCCAAGGAGCTGTTCCTTGCAGGAGAGGTGCCGATCTTCTCCCTAGAGCGTGCTACTTTCTCGCGGTGCCATGAAGAATAGAGGGCACGAGTCTCACGCACTCTCTCTGCAGATGCAGAACGTGCTGATGGGACTGGTGGCTGGTCTTTGTTACTTTTTATAAGAGATGGATGCCACTTCGAAGAAATTCGACGAGGAGGCGATGGTGCCAATACTACCTTTGACGGGGCTGTCCTCTTTCTTTCCCCGAAGGTGGGCATTGGGGGCTTTGGCGGCGGCGACATGGTTCTGGTCACGCCACAGGAAGGAGTCAGGTCCGAGAGAGATGGGTGGTGCAGACCCAGGTCAAGATCTGAGTATACCACGTAGTAATCGTCTGCAAGAAGGGCGGCATGAGGTAGGAACAAGTCGATAATCTTTCATTATTGTGCAATGAGCCCCTCGAGTGGGCAAATCTTCTACGATGCTGTGCTCCTTGGACCCGAAGCTGACCACCAGAGAAAAACTAGCAGACTTGTGCTGTAGTACTTATGCTCGTTAGAACTGTGGATGGAAGCTTCTACGGGGCATTCCTCAGGGTGCATCATTGTGATACTTCTCCGTGCACAAATAATACTTTAGCCTGGTGCAGGTGACAATATTTCTGCTGGCGTGTGTGTGTGTATGTACAGATGTCTCAGCCTGGCAATTTCTTTCGCTGAATAGACGAGTGCATGCTTTTGGGTGAGACAGGGGCAGGAGTGGAAGGCAGTGCAAGGAGAGCGTGGAAAAGGCTGTACATGGGAAGGGGTGCAAGAAGCTCAGGTGAAAGAGGTAGTACCAAAGAGGGAAGTGCTGGGAGCTAGCTTGAAGGAGGCTGTACAAGGGAGGATTATTGGGAACTAGCTTGAGCGAAGATGTACAAGGGAGCTAGAGTGGAGGCAGATTGTTAAGCTGGGAGTATGTAAAGATGAAAAGAGTTGATGGAAGAAGAAATGGTGAGGTAGTAATGCAATTTGTGCTCCTGGGCTCAAGACGATAGAGGGCCGATAGAACTACGATAAAATAAAAAAAAGGAGGGGGGGGGGAATCTTGAAGAGATGTTGAGGAATTGACAGATTCATCAAGGACTGCCTGATTATTTTTATTATTATGGGAATCGCTAAACCGGTAATGGTCATACAGCGCCTGAGATATGGGATGCAATCAGGTTTGACCCAGGGAAGGGGAGGACAGTTCCCTGTCCTTAGATCAAGAGCCCTTCACCAGCGTAAGAGGATGGTGCAGATGACACAGCAGTGTTAATGATGCCGAAATATAAAATGAGTTGATGGGCTGTGATGCATGTAAACTTATGGAGGATAGCCAGTACGGATGATGAGGACGAGTGTTTGATGATACTGATGATAAACACAGGGAAGGATGATACTAATAATACAGTTGAAGGATAATATATACAGGTGTAAGATACTGGTAATACAGGTCAAGGATATTAATACTACAGGCACAGAATGATGCAAGTAACAGGTGTGGGAACATACTGATAATAGGTGTAGGATGATACTGATGACGTAGGTGCGGGTGTTGTAAGGGATCTGGGCAGAAGGGTGTGATACTGTGTGGGTAGATATTCGTGGGGTAGTGGGTGGATGTGTGGGTAGATATTCTTGGGATAGTGGGTGGGTATTTGGTTAGACTTCCCAAGGGTAAGTGGGAGTGTACGGGGGGGGGGGGGGGGGATGAGCGTGATGTGAGGGGTAACTACTGTGCTAACAGAAAATATACACGATTGATTTCTACATTAACTACTACTAATAAAGGAAATACAGTTTAAAACAATATTCTGAAATTCTACCAGCATGCAGAGGGATTAATATCAACATGTTATCAAGTTGAAATATCCTGCAAGCAACATTATTAAACTTAAATCTACGTATTTTAATGATTGAGGAATATCCAAAAATACTCACACTCACACACACACCACACACACCACACACCACACACACATCCACACACACACACATCCACAACACTCACACACACATCCACACACACACACATCCACACACACAAATCCACACACACAAATCCACACACAAATCCCACCACCACACAAAATCCACACACACAAATCCACACACACAAATCCACACACACAAATCCACACACACAAATCCACACACACAATCCACACACACATCCACACACACACACATCCACACACACACATATCCACACACACATACACACATCCCCACAACATACACACATCCACACAACCACACATACACACACATCCCACACACATACACACAAAAATCCACACACACACAATCCACACACAAACAATCCACACACAAACAATCCACACACAAACACAATCCACACACACACACACACACACACACACACACAC